CGAAATAAATGCAGAAAATATGACAATTATAATAAAATCATGGCATAACCAAATCAAGTCAGGAAACCAACAATAGGATCACATAAGGTGCTTAGACAAAAGAAATCATCACTCATTCATCAGGGATTATACACGTATTACTGGGAAAAGACCTGGAAAGATACAGACCTTGGCTAAGAAAACTTGATGATCTCATTTCAAACACAAGAGAAGTCAGCATACACCACTAATCATCATATATATATATATATATATATATATATATATATATATAGTAGACTAATAAAGAAAGTATATTGCTTTCGATCAAAGCTTGAGATGATAAGAAAAAAAAAAGTCAAAATAATTCAGTGGCTAACTCAAGTGCAGAGCGGATATTACTCTTAGCAATGACGAAAAGTATAAAAAGGAGCAGACTTTATGAATAAGTAAGCACACATTTCCACCAAGAACTGATGCATAAGTTATATCCATACTATATTGCTGCAAAAGAAAGACAACGAAATGGAAAGAAACTTAATTCGAAATCCAACCTCAAAATAAAAGGTTATTTAAGAAAACTATAGATTCAGATATCCAAACAAGGAAACCGCAATCGAGAATCTTGAAAGAACTCAAACCCACTTTTTCCTCAATTGATCAAAGTCGTATTGTATTGTAGCGGATTTGTTGGAGCTGGCAGTCGGCCAAATGTCTGCCCTTTTTCCCTGCTGCTTGTGATTTATATACTTTTTTTATTCAACCAAAACAAATGGTTCTTGGATTTGATGAAACGCATTTAGTTTAGAATAGTAATAATATTCACCGTCCGCCCTGAAAATGGCTCCCTCCCTCTACCTCACCTCACCTCACCTCACCTCACCTCACCTCGGCTTATCTAATCTATAAAGCCATACATATTGACTCTCACTCACTCAATCACTGCAACGTTGGATGTGACTTTCGAAGGATTTAATAAACCCCGAAAAAAAAAATCAGTGCTAATAAATAAATAAATAAAAATGGAATTGTAGTTGAAGGCGGGTGACGTGGATGTGAAGTCGTGGAAGGATGTGATTGGTGAAAGGATGGATTGATTGGGAAGCAAGCTGGAGAACGCGTGTCCAGGTTTTTCATTGGGTCCCACACATTTGTTTTTTGGGAGACTTCCAAATAAATCCCCAAACCCTTTTCAAACTTCTTTCTAAGTCCCTAAAAAAAATAATTTCCACTGCACTCCCTATCTCTCTCTTATTCTTCCACTTAAATCCCTATTCTTAAAATAAATCAAAAATAAATCAGGTAATGACATCACTCCACTAAAAAACTAACTTTACATATTATTTTATTAATTCTCTCTCTTCCCACTAGAATCTTTCTTAATTTTTTTATTGTTTTTTCTCTCTCTTTCCATATATTTGTCTATTATTTTCTTTTTATCATTTTCTACTATTTAACTCTCATAATAACATTATTTCTTAATATTTTATTAATTAATATATATATATATATTTTTGTATAAACTATCTAAATAAAAAATATATATATATATATATATATATATTTTACTAATCTTTATTTCATATAAATTTATATTATACTATATCTATAAATCTATATTTTTGTCCTTCAAATTTATCAAATAATTCTCTCAAATTTAATTATAAATTATAAATTTTATTAAAAAATATTTATTACAAGAGGAATATATATCAACTAGTACAATATCGGTGTACTACATGGGTACGTAATATATAAATATTTGTACAAGAGAAAAACTAAAATAATTTATTTTTATATTGTAAAATTATGTATAAAGAATATTAAAAATAATGAATAACTAAAAATAATAATTAATTCAAAATGGGTCCATATTTTTCATTGCACAGAAGAAATCAATTCTAGACATTAATACAATTAGATTTGCTCTTCATAGGGACTTCCCTTCCCACCAGAGAGAAAAAGCTCCGCCCGGTATGCGAGAAGTCAAACTTAATTTTCTTATATTATATAAAATATATGATAAAACACATTAAAACGATTATTTTATGGTGTATTATTGAATTAGATTTTTATTATATATGTTATAAAATAATTTATGTTGTATTAATATTTTTTAAATTATAATTTTTAATAAATATAGTTTTATATACAATGATAGATGTAATTATTTTTTTATCTATATATGTAATATGGATGTCAAATCGAATATCATTAAACTATGATTATTTTGAGATATAACATAAAAAAATAAAATAAACAAAAAAAATATAAAGATTTAAAAATACGAGAATATAAATCGAAGATCATTAAAATATGATTAATTTGAGATATAGCATATAAAAAAATAAAATAAAATAAAATAAAAAATTATAAAGATCTAAAAATAAAAAGAATACACATTTATTATATGAATTAAATAAAAAGAGTAAGAGTAGTATATGGTAACTTGAGAAAAAAAAAATATCTAAAATAGTTTATGGTAATTCTCAAGCCTAAAACCTAACATGTACACGTGTCAATGCAAAGCGATTTATAAAATTATCATTAATATCTCATGACAAGTTATTATAGAAATATGCTAAAAATTGAGAATTATAAATTCAACTTTCATACACGTACCAAATAAAATTCATACAACTTATTTTATTTTTAAAATTAAATACACTTCTATCCATCCCAAATGAAATTCATTACATTTAAATTTGTACATTTCATGCCAAAATAAAACCGCCCTCATTAGATGAAGCATAATACTCAACTATTATTTTATTCTAAAATTTAGTATCATATAATATTATTAATTTTTTTTTTAAATTAGCAACCAAATTTTATAAAACTTAATTAAACACATTCAAATACTCATAAAACTAATGTATAAGTGATTTTGAGTAATATACACATCGTTTAATACTGAAATTCAGTGTTTATTATATTCGTTGGAATTGGTGTTGAATGATATTGGCTCCTAAACTACCATTTAATGGTTACTGTCTAACTCAATGAAATTATGGGTCATATAAACATCATTTGAGACTGAAATTCAGTTTTTTATGTGTTCATTAATGTGGTACTAAACACCCAATATCAGGTACTACAACAATATAAAACTGGTACTATCTTACTCTATGTTTGGTATTGCTTTTTGTAAATGTTGGCAAAAATTATTTTCGTTCACAAAAGTAGGTACTAATCAATCAAAACGAGGTACCACGCAGAAGAAGATGTCGTACTATTATGGTTAAAACAGGTACTACTTTAAGAATCGTGATTTCTCTAATCCTTCATGTCTACCATGACACATAGATCATCCACGCATGATTTGGACAAAAAATATCGGAAGTTAAAACATATAGGTAGAATTTGGAGTATTCATGTATGATGATTCTATAAAATGAAGTGCGTCATTCAATGAAATGAAGCATATTAATAGTGTTTTCTCATT